ACATGGGAGACCCAAGGGGCTATTTTCACACACAGAAGGGTGCAGAGCTGCCTTCTTTTCAGAAAGGAAGGGGATGAGTTGCCAATAACTCACGACTATTAATTTAAAACAATCAAACAGAAAAACATTTTCTACATATAAAACCCACTGTAGCCCACCTAGCAAACTAATTGCAAAAGAAAAAACTCAGCACAAGCCAAGTCTGCTCGAGATGCTTGTTATGGTGCACTGTCACCTGGAAATACAGTTGCAAAGTGCCATTCCAATGCATCACAAAGACCTCCTCACTGGACTTCCTGCTCCTACCTTAGCCACCCTACATAGGTACCATTCTCAACAGCCACAGTGACCCCTTGGCTAAAACCACCCTTCTCTCCATTTTACTTAGAGGAAAAGCTACAGACCTTACAATGGGCTGCAAAGCCCCACATCATCCATCCCTAATTATCTCTCTAATCTCCTCTCCTAGGACACTTTTGACAATCTTTGAACATGCCAGGAACAGCACTAGCTGATCCCTCTGCCAGAATAGAATAGAATAGAATAGAACAGAATGCCTTTCCCCAGATAGCCCCGGATTAGTCTCTGACCTATTTCAAGTCTCTGCTTAAATGCCACCTTCTAAATGAATTCTTCCATGTCCAGTTTACTTAACATTGCAACTCCCATCCCTATCCCCTGTCCAATCTTTGCTTTTCCCTCCTTAAAATGTATCAAATTCTACCATTGTTATTTAATCTTTATTATTGTCTGTCTTACACCACCAGAATGTAAGCTCCCCAAGAGCAAAAGGATTTTTGCTATTTGATTCACTGATGGTATCACCAGCGGCTAGAATGTGCCTGATACAAGCAGATAAGCCATAAATACTGGTGCATGAGCTAATATATTATAAGAACGTCCCCTGTTTACCTTTGTCTTCCCAGGATCTCTGCATGCATTTGACTTTCCTTTTAAAATTATATCTATATTTATAGTAGAGATCTTTAATGTAGAGATCTTTTAACTGAAGGATTTGCAGGAAGTAAAATTAACACTATTCAGTTATTCTCACATTTCACTAGCCATGTGAGCTGTTTAGTGATCCATAACATGTAGGAGAACTAGGTAGTTCCCTCAATAGTTCATTGGCCAAAAAAGCTACAGTGTTACAGACTATTCATACTATAGGGTCAGATTCAAAATATTGGGCGGTTCAAAAATAACATCAGAATACCAGGAAGCATAGGGTTGCACAAAGAAAACAACGAATTTATCGTTCACTTTACTTTTCAATAGCTTGGTCAGATCCTCACCTGCTCTAACGCCTCTTGAGAAAAACACCATTTAGAAAGAGAAACCTGCAGTTACCCGAAGCTGAGTTTGGCTGAGAGAGTAGAGTTTACATTCCGTTGTTGGCTAGGTCCTTACCCCGTGGAATGTCACAAGATGGGATTCAGGCCATGAAGAGGTCAGTAGTGCTTTGACCAAGTGCTACCTAAGGGGATTACACACTACCTTATATATTCGATGATATGTGTTACTTACACATTAAACATCAGCTTCAAAAACCCCCCTCCCACTCCACGGTTGTCCCCGAGCGCAGGAATTCACTCCCATGTGTAACTTCGAAACTAGGCATCTGCCACCCACCACGCATGATGAATTCACTCCCTTGCACACTCGCTGGCCTCCTCTGAGGGGAACAGTGACCAGGGGCTATGTGTGATACCATCAACGACAATTCTACCCCAATATCTACATGCATTTGGGGAAATGGAAAGCACAGGGCTGTGGGTTCGGGGACCCACACTTGGAGGACCAGCTGATGCAACAGAGGCCTGCCCCACTGGATCTGAACCCCTCCGTGCAGTCTGGCTGAGTCAACTGTCCTGCATCATCAGCGCATGCGCTACTTTGCGCAGCTGCAAACTTCAGCGAGGTCAGAAGCACCTGCGGCGCTAGTGTAAACTGCACAGACTCTCAGCTCCACCCGGCCCAGTGGTTCTGACTCAGTTGATCTCAGGGAGGGCCAGGGAATCCGCCGGACGCCTCAGGAGACACAAATGCACACCACACTTGGAGAAACACCGTCTCTAAATCTTCACCGAGCTACTTAAAAGCCTCTTACTCAGTAAATGCTTTTTAAAAATATTAAATTCGGGCCAGGCGAGGTGGCTCACGCCAGTAATCCTAGCACTCTGGGAGGCTGAGGCGAGAGGATCTCTCGAGGTCAGGAGTTCAAGACCAGCCTGAGCAAGAGCGAGACCCCGTGTCTACTAAAAATAGAAAGAAATTAGCTGGACAACTAAAAGTATATATAGAGAAAATTAGCCGGGCATGGTGGCACATGCCTGTAGTCCCAGCTACTAGGGAGGGACTACTGAAGCAGGAGGATCGCTTGAGGAATCGAGGGGGAGGGTTTGAGGTTGCTGTGAGCTAGGCTGACGCCATGGCACTCTAGCCTGGGCAACAGAGTAAGACTCTGTCTCAAAATAAAATAAAATAAAATAAATAAATTCTCCTTCACGACTGTTCATCCATTCCGTCATAGAGAGGCTGTCTCCATTGCTCATCCTCTTGCTTCTTATATCTCATTAGGAAAACGTGTGGGCAGGCTAACCTCATCTTAACCGATATTATTTATTGGGGATAATGAATTTAAAAAGAGAGAAAAAAAAATGATTCTGCAGTCCCATGGGCTGTGAGGAGCATGGCCTATTCCACCCTCCAGGGGTTTGGATTTAACGCTGCCAGGCCGAAGGCTGGCATCGAACGTGTCGTTATCAACACCACCCAGGTTGGAGAGTGAGAAAAAGCCAGAGGCGCCACAGGCCTCCCGCTCCCTCCCGCCGCTCCCAGCATCTCCTTGGAAGGGAGAGGCGGTTCACACAAGGTGACAGGGATGGCCCTGGAGCTGCTTGGCACTGGCTGACTCCACTTAACGAGTGTTCAGAATCACATTCAGCTACGGAGAAATTCACCCTGACCCTGGACGTTTGCCCCCTGGCATACGCTCACTTACATTTTTACTCAATTACTATTTCTAAGAACAGAGACCAAAAAAAAAAAAAAAAAAAAAATGCAGAGCCCCACTGCTCAGCAGTCTTGCATGGAAGGTCTGCAGGGGGTCTGCAGGGGTGGGGTGGGAGAGCCTCCCGCTGCGTGGGGCTCGTGCCTTACCTCCCCTTCCACACCCTCGGAGACACCCCTGACTTTCCCAGACCCGCTGAGGAGCAGGGTGGGTTTCCAATGATTTTGCACCAAAGGAAGAGAGGAGCTCCCAGCAAAGAAGTGACCGAAAATAACCCTGGGCCAGAAGGCGTGCCTGCAAAGAAAAACCACCCGAAGAACCAATTTGCCTACGATGGGAGGAAAAGATGAAAAGGAAATTAAAGGAGTAGGTAAGAAAGTTATAAAATTAATGGGAGAGGATTCCAAAGGAAAAGCAAAAAAAAAAAAAAAATTGGGGGTCTCTGGTTGGTGGCATCCAGGCTACATCCGAATTCAGAATTTTGCTCTGTCCCTAGCTAGCTCTGTGACCAAAGACAAGGTGTTTACCTCTCCAAACCACAGTTTCCTCAAAAATGAAGATCGTCATCTTGGCCCTCCTCACCCACCAACGTGGGGAAAATTAGGATGATTCGTATTAAGTGCCAGGGACATATGGGCTATGTAATAAATGTTTTCCTTCTCTTGGTCCCTTCCCTTTTCCTTTCCAAATAGCCAGTCAGCTAGTGGGAAAATATCAGAGATTTAAATCCTTGGTTTAGATAGTGAAATCAAATTAAAATGTAGAGCTTAAGAACAAAACTATAAGGTCTCACAAAAAAGGAGCTTTAAAAGTATGGATTAGACCTTTGAGTGTTTTTATTCATTTTGCAGCTACCAGCCACTTTGAGGCTTTCTGTACTAAAATAAATGTCTACTCTCAACACAATCAGTCTTTTTTGAGGAAACCCCAGCTTAGCCCACTGTAAACAAGCTATTACTGATTTCTAAGAAGCAATGTCAGGCACAGTAAATTGCAGAATAGGACATCCAGCTTCTCCTAGGATAATAAAAAAAATTTCCTTTGTCTGTGTCCAGGACCTCCACCCACATTTAGAATCAACATAATCCAAACCTTCTCAGAGCCTCAAAAATATGTAGTGAACCCATGCCAGGATTATAAGTCTGTTTCCTTTCTTCCTGAGCATGGTTCAGGGCAACTTTAGCCACTGAATTCCTTGAGTGTCAGGATCAAGGATATTCTTTGATCCTAGTCTCTCTGCGGACTCACTGCCCAGCATACAGCAGGCATTCATAAATGCTGGCTGAATTGATGAATGTTCCAAATTAGACAGGGATGGAGACCTCTGGCTTTGGTGCCCCTCAGCCCAACATGTGGTGCTGGCTCTGAGGAGCTTGCACTTGGCCTGAGGGTCAGGACTAAGTGAGTTGAGCAAGTGTAAACTCCCAGGCGCAGTTAGCTGAGGCCCCGACTTATGAAAATCCATTTCTCCATGCAATCCGGATGTGTCAATACAAAGGTCACAAACAATGGCATCAGCATAACTCTGCTAAGAGTCTCCCTCTAGATTCCAGAACCTTAAAGGAGAGAAAATCTCCTTTCACTTTAGTTCAGTACGGAATACATTAACTGAGCAACTATTATGTGTCACGAATAAGAACACAGACACAAATAAGACATTAAAAAAAGGAACATTCCCTTGACATTCAGGCCATACTGGTAAACCCTCCAGAGAGTAGCCTCTGTGAGGGTCAGGAAATCAACATTTCAAATCATTCTATTCACATACTGCAATCAAGTGACTGTATTAACGTCAAAGCTCTTCATCAGTTTTTCTCATATAAACTCCACCTAGAAAATCCCAGGCACCTTTGTGCTTGCTCAGCTACAAGGCTGCAGGTTAGAATCCTACTTTGCCTTTGACAAGTTCCCCACAGGAGACAAATACTAAAGATGGACTTGATTACAACTACGGCAAACGAGGAATAAAGCAGACAAGTGTACTCACCAAGGTACCCACAGAGCACCTGGGACTGTCTGGTGCACAAGCTGCCCACTGAGCCAGAGGGTGTTGTAACAACTGGGCAGACAGCTAGGAGTTTTAAAAAGCACAGTCATTAGCTATTTTACTGAAGAGATGCCTGGCACAGAACTATACAAAGATTCAAAGCAGAAGAGGGACTCACTGAATGTTCTTATCATTCCCCCAGGAATCTAAGGTTCCTGCTAAACTGGGGCCAGGGGATTAGACACCAATTACCAATGGAGGATTCTGGATTCCAGTCCCAGATCTTCTGGAATCCCTTAGCCAGCAGTCAGACTTCTGAATTCTGTTTTCCCTTTAGCATGCTCTAGTGTTAAAATAACCATGTGCAATTTATATACTGAAATGGTAAAATAAATATCTTGATTTATATTCAAGATGAATGAGAAAGGCCATGCCCTCCTTTGATAAAAGGCAGCCTACCTATTAAGAATAAAACTTTGTTTTTCGTTTGGCTGGCCTAGATTTCAGTGTTCTTAAAACCACCTGTCATCATTTCCAACCTGCACATGAATGCTCCTTCTCAAACGAGTCAAAAATACAAGTGTATGTTGGTTTGAGGCTACTTAGCTATAGTTTAAAAAGGTGGAGCTCTTTGAAATGGATTAAACATATCTTCTATAATAGTTCTTACATCCAGAAATTTCGAACTTTGCTTTCTTTAAAGTAACACCAACCCAATGTGTATGCTACCCACCATATTCTTAGAAAAGAAAATACACAAAAAAATCCTTCACATGGTAGAGAAAATACTGCTGAGTGTTCAAAGGTTTTCGTATCTGTGGTAGGGTCAATAATATAGGATTTTTGCACGAGAGGATGTGAATTAAAACTCCCATTCTGTCATTGATTTCCTGTGACTCCTTGGATAAGCCCCTGAATTTGCCCAAACTTCTGTCTATAAGATGAGGCAGACATAATGCTTCCCCTGAGAATTGTTATAAAATTGAAATGAGCTGATATATTTAAAAGAGACTAACAAATAAAAGGTGAGCAAGGAATGTAATCGTATTAGTCATCTAACTTATGTGATCAAAGAAGCCCTGAATGCCTTCTAGGCCTGGCAAGAATATAGTGCTTTCCCAGGTCCTTACATAAATTTAGAATCCATGCACTTTCTAGTCACATAGATAGAACATGTCTTCTAGAAGTAACACTGCCATTCTTAGGACCTGACTTGAAAACTTCTTTTGACAAAAGACATAAGCCTTATGGACTCCTCTCTCAATTTTTCTTTTTTTTTTTGTGCCAGATTTGTGCCTGTCACTCAATTTTAAAATGGATCACGAAGGCCTTTTCCACACCCTAGAACTTACCATCTCCAATATTCAGCCCAGTGAATAACAAGAGCCCAGTGACACTGACTTCTCACACATGTGTGGATTACACCTTCTGATCAGAATGCTCTTTAATTGAGATATGGGGCTCTGGGTGGCATGGCAGAAGAAGAGACCCAACACGGGGCTTCCATAAGTACATGCTGCTATCATGTTGCCACCATATGGGGCTCCCAGCTGACATCTGCTCACACATGTTCCCACCAATAAGCAACCATGTTGTTTATTTTTAGAGCCTTCCCCACCGTCTTACAGGAAGAAATTCCCTCAAATAACCAGTCAGCAAAGACAGGAAGCTAGCCGGGGTATAAACTGTTTGTCACAAGATTAGCAAGTCAAACAAAGTTTGCTCATGCCTATCTGACCTTTAAAAAGAGATGCTGAAAGTTATCTCACATAAAAATCTCACAGACTACAACCAGAGCAAGGCAGGCTAGGCAGAGCAAATCGCTTGGTGAGAGATAACTTTTGCTTCACACTATGGCCCTGTGCATTTCTTGGGGGGATTTAAGTCCTTTTCCTGGGAAACAGCACCTTCTTCAGGTCAGTGTAGGCCGTGGAGCAGAAGAGGGACAATTCTATGAAAGAGAATTCAGATCTCTGAAATTACCCAAGGTCACCCAGGTCATAGGAAGTCCACGTGAGAACAAGGTGAGGAAACTATTGTCATTTGCCATTTCCAGCATGCAGCCCTCAAGTATGCACCTTTGGTTTGCTTTCACTCTGCTCTAAAGTTGCAGTATGAAAATCCTTTCTTTCTTTTTCTTTCTTATCTGTTTTTAAGCAAGGCAAAAGGAGAGGGAGCTCTCGTGCTGATTCAGCAATGCCTTAGAAGTTAAGACCGTGAACGGGATGGAGATATAAGGTTGCTAACCTAACAGGGATGATTCAGGCCACAGAATGCAGTCCTTAGTTTTAAATAATCAATTTTCAGTAATCTACTTGATTGAAAAATGGCACTGTGAGATGGATACACTTTATTTAGAATAATGAGGCTTTGGATATATGTGAAAATGCTTTGTAAAATATAAACCATTATGACAACCTGAGACATGAATAGTCTCAGAAACAAAATATTTTTTAGAAGAACTTGGACACTCACTATTTGATAATGGGAGACTATAGGTCACACAAGTCGTAAGATAGAAATCAGTGCTAGAGTTAAATTTTGCATGGGTAATTTACAAAATAGATGACTATAAAAGTGTTGGGGTTCATTTTTGACACAGCTAAGAAATAAAGCAACAAAACAAAATAAAAATACACAGTGTTTCCAGAGTATGTTTCTGAACTACCCGTGTGAGAATCACCTGGCCTTCGTGTTAAGATGTAGTCTTCTGAAACCCACCTTAAAACTACTGAATAATTATCTAGATGGAGGTGAGGAACAAAGGTTTGGGAATCTACTTTTCTTTTGAATGATAAAATGTGAAAACCACTGGTACAGGCCTTTGTGATTTACAGGTTAGAAAAGCCCTTTCCAAAACCTCCTTTGACCTCAAAACCATCCAACTAGATGGATCAAAGAAAAATTATCCCCTCATAAGGGTTATTTGTTCTGAGTAAGTAGATGTTTTGTATACTGTGAAAGTGTCTATATGACAGAGCTAAAGCCATTCTTATTGCTGTGATATCTTAAGCAGAATTAGATGGCATTAGAAACAAAGTTAACTATAAAAGTGTTTAGTTTCAACCAAACTCTATATCAAATAAACTCCCGTCCCACTCCCACCAACCCTCTGCGTAAACATACAATGCATCTCTATTACAATACAGCAGTTCTATAAGTGGGTACTATCACTCCTCCCAACACTAAACGACAATGAGTTTCTACTTTTCTTAAAAAATTCCCAGCAAATGTTACTGAGAAACGGCAAACTGATCCAAATGTATAGTGATTTAGGGTAAGCTTGGATCAAGACCCTGTTTCTAGCAGCGGAGTGCTTGTGACAGAGAGTTAATGAAATTAGACATGACTCTACACACATAGTTTCATTATTGATGGTGATACTTCCTGACAGTGGAATTCTTCTAAAATATGTCTCTCTCCAAAACAAATTAGCACCAGTCACCTCATTCTATGGAGAAGAAAGGCACACGCTTAGTAGGTGGGACAGCGGCAGCTCAAGAGTTCCTTCATAGGCCGGGCGCGGTGGCTCACGCCTGTAATCCTAGCTCTCTGGGAGGCCGAGGTGGGCGGATTGCTCGAGGTCAGGAGTTCGAAACCAGCCTGAGCAAGAGCGAGACCCTGTCTCTACTATAAATAGAAAGAAATTAATTGGCCAACTAATATATATAGAAAAAATTAGCCGGGCATGGTGGCGAATGCCTGTAGTCCCAGCTACTTGGGAGGCTGAGGCAGGAGGATTGCTTGAGCCCAGGAGTTTGAGGTTGCTGTGAGCTAGGCTGATGCCACGGCACTCACTCTAGCCTGGGCAACAAAGCGAGACTCTGTCTCAAAAAAAAAAACACAAAAAAAAAACAACAAAAAAGAGTTCCTTCATAGACTTGACCAGTGACTTTTACTATTCAAATCAATTTGATTTTTAAAAAAACACTTCAAGATGTCTCAGATATAAAACAGGGTGAAGAGAGATAACAGCAAGCCAACGTAGTAGAGTTTAACAGACATCTCTGAAGGTGGGACCTGCTATTCCAGACAGTAAGAACTATAATTCATTCTGGTTCTGCCCTGCTGCTTTCAGATAAGGGTCAGGAGATTTGGAGAACTTCTTCCTCTATCTCCCCCTCCTTACCCTGCACAACCTAAAATGTCAAGGGATCAGCTTGGATGTTTCTAGAAACATTTGCCCAGAAAGCCCTGACCAACCTCCGAGGGGACAGTTCCTTGACCAAATCACCTATCTCCTGCAAAGAAATGTCCTTGGTCTGTGATTATTCTTTTCTTATTGTAAAGTAGAATCAGAATAAGTCACCCACACCTTTTTTTGGACTTTCTGAGCTAAATTACAAGACTTCATTAGGAAGCAAGTAGAAACAACTTCAGTAGTATTGCCATTAAGATGTCAAGGCAAAAGTGAAAATGAGATTAAGCAAACAGATAGGGAAATAATGACTATGTAAAAAAGAAAACCCCCAATGGAGGGAAGAAGCAAAGTTACTGCTATATCTGGTGTAAACAGAACAATTCCTGATAAATTTGGTCTAAGAAGCATTGGAATCACCAACACTGAAATGAATCCAAAACTTAAAAATTAATTTGTATTTCCAAAAAAATTCCCATTGATGTTTTGGCAACAATAAATATTTTAGTGCTCTGAAAGTCCACTGAAAAGTACCCAGTAATCTTGTTCAGATAGAGAGATTTGCAAAGACTAGTGGACTTGTGGTCATTTCAATGTGTCTCTCTAAACCAAACTTTGCATTCTTGTTCCCAAGATGAAGTAACACACAAGGATTCTGACAACAGCCTAAAGTTATGAATGAATAGTTATTTGCGAACTAGCTTCTCAAGACAGATGTGATATTTGTCAGCGCAGTGTGGGCTAGATAGGAAAAGCCAAATGAACAGAGCCAAGGTCTAAGTCACAACATTTTTCTTTTTCTTTCAGGAGACCAAAAAGATGCTACAGTATTTCCTGAAACAAACAACAACTCCAGAAGAGCAGTCTTCTTCTCAAATCGCTACCCCATGACTTTTCTTTCAGAAACACAGTGTCTCTTCTTCAGGAATGACCTGCTTCATAATTC